GTCTCGGGATTCCCCACTCACATGTGTGCACACACAGTCTCGGGATTCCCCACTCACATGTGTGCACACACTGTCTCGGGATTCCTCACTCACACGTGTGCACACACAGTCTCGGGATGCCTCACTCACCATGGACAGCCAAGTGTACCACCACACGGACGCAGAGGGCACAGTCGGTCTCCTGTGGACACCTCAGCACCAGCTCCGTCTGCAGGCGGGTGGGCACCAGCACGGGGCCTGAGGCAGGCTCGATGCTTCCAGGCAGGCAGAGCACGTCACCATCTGGGTGTGAAGGGTGGAGGGTGGCCAAAGCTGCTCAGAGCCCGGGTTGGCTTCTGATCGCTCCCGAGGGCCGGGGAGCTAGCTCCAGCTAGCTGAGAGTGAACCATCGCCTTCCCTTCAGCTAGCCTGGAAGTTCTCTCTGTCAAAGTAGCGATACTTACCCCAGAGGTGGCAGGAAAGACCCTGGGAAGGAAGGAAAAGTCAGCGACATCCCCGAACCTCAGCACCTTCCCTTGCTTGACAACTCCTACCTTCTGGGGCTCCCCATCCTAAGCCCTCCCCTGAAGACAAGACTAATCCTTGTCTCCTGTCCCTCTGCTCTCTCCCATCAGCACCAGACAGACCAGACAGGGCGGTTCTGACAGAGGCAGTGGCCAGAGTCAGATGAGGGCTTTGAAGAGGCACGGACTGAACTCTCAGCCTTCCCCAACTTCCCAGGGCCCCAGACTCACTACAGAGCAGCGTGCAGTGTCGTGAGGATCCACGAGCCTCTCCAGAGAAACCACCGCAGGGCTCCGGCCCAGTGCCAAGGACAGCAGGAACCAGGACATAGGCATCTTCCAGGTGCTAGACAGCACCCAGGCCTGAGGCCCTGTCCTGCCCCCCCAAGGGGGGGCAGACACCCCACCCCTGCTGCCAATCAGCCCTGTGTCCCCCGGGAGAGAACAAGGGCTAGAATCCCTCTCCAGCCATGCTTTCCCACTCGGAGCCCGGACTCCGGGCCCAGTTTCAGCTGGAGCTGGAGTGCTTTCGCTTTGACTCCCAGCAGGCGGTCGCTGTTCCCGCCCCACCCTGTCCCGTCCCTCCCACCAACTCCCGGCTTAGGAGCCTGCAGCTTTGGACTCGGGTGGTGGCCTCTCCGCCTCCTCCTTGGCTGACACCTGGCTGGGAGGAGCCCTGGGCAGGCGGCACAGCTGGAGTCTTGCTGAGTAAGGTAAGGTAACTCTTACCCCAGATCTCACCCAAAACAGAGACTACGATTGAGAAGACCCCTGGCTTGTAGCATCTCGGGCGTTTCCACTTCCTGTATGACCCAGGGGTCCACTGGCCCACTGGGTTCCCTTTACCAGATACCTAGGATCTTCATACAGTTCCCTGGACCTCAGTGACAACGACCCCCGGGAAACAGCAGCTCTGAAGTGGGCTTCTCCCCACTGCCTGGCCTAGGTTCAAGGGGATGGAGGGGCAGGCAGGGCCTGGGAGACCCAGAACTCAGCAGAGGTTCTGCCGTGCTGTGGTTGGGACTGGAGGAGCGGGGAGACACATGGTGCCAAGCTGAGCTTTGGGTTTCCTTTGCTCTCAGAAGAATCACGTTGAGGAAAGGATCCAGGAGGTACTGGGCCCTCCTTGCCTTCCACAGGCACGGCCTGTGGGAATGAGGCCACCGATGACATTGTGAGTGAGAGGACTTGAGCTGATGAGCTGTCCTAGAACAAGCCCAGGGCAGGCCCAGGCACACAAGAGCAGCACACGGTGTTCCTTAATTTATCTACTAGGTTCGCTTTTATTCACCCTTCTGGATGCACGAAAACCCTCTCTCTCACCAATTGTGGTGGCTCAGGCCTCTAATCCCAGCCAGCACTCAGGAGGCAGAGACAGGGAGCTCTCTCTTTGTCCCAGGCTATCCAGGGCTACACAGTGTCTATCTCAAACAAACAAACACAAAATCAAACAAACAAAAATCAAACTACCTCTGGAGAAGGCCTCCCTCTGGGAAAGGGTGACTGACCCCTTGCTTACAAGGGGTTTCTCTCAACTCCGATGAGCAGAACCACCTTCAAGACCTTGACAGACAGAGCCTGCTTCCCAACCCTGGCCCAGCTCTCTGCAGCCTGGACTACTAGAATGCATGGTGCAGGTGGCTGTCTTTGCAGTTTCCAAAAAGATGGAAAAACGGCCCCTCCTCAAAAAGGGCTGAGGAGCTATCAAGAAAGCCCAATTTTCTCCCAGGGACTCTGAGAGGAAGCATGTGTGGGAGGAAAGCCGGGCGAGTTTGGGGCCTAGGGTGAGTCTTACAGTTTGGTGGAGGCAAGAAGCACCCCAAGAGTACCAGCCTGAGGCCTCATTCTGGAGTTCCAGCTGTTGCTCCATAGGCTGAGACTACAGACCACTGGAACCGCAGGGATGACCGGTTGAGCCTTGGTGGTCAACTTTGGCGGCGAGTTCCAGCTGGTGACACAGCTCCAGGCGGTTTTTCAAGCACCGCTTAGCCCCAAGGTGACTCTGGCTGGTGGCGAGGGTGGCAGGCCGCGCATCCAGAGCCCTCAGCAGGCGCGGCAGGTCACGAAGCAGGCGGTAGCGCGGCAGAGTGCGCAGAGGCCGGGGGATGTCGCCTTTGGGGCAGAGGCGACTGAAGTAGGCAAGCAGCAGCCGGCTTGGGGCAGCGCAGAGCAGGGTGCGAAGGGACGCGGTGCGTGGGTCGCCGCCGCTGCCGGCCAGGCTGGGGCCTGCACAGCTCCACAGCAGCAGCACGGTGCCCTGCTCCCGCGCCACGCGCTCCCGCGCCGCCCAGAGCCACGGCAGTGGTCCAATGCGTGCCACATGCGTCCCCTCCCAGAGATCCACGATGACGTCGCGCCCGCCGCCCAGCGCGGTCCGCAGCAGTTCGGCCAACGCTCCCACCAGACGCCGCTGTGCCTCTGAGTCCGCTGCGTGCAGTAGTAGAATTGGCCGCGCTTGACCTGGGCCTGGGGACCCGAGCAACAGCTGAGTCAGGGTGAGGGGCTGGGGGAAAGACAGCCCAGCCCTCCCCTAGAGGCCTCTGGCCTACACTCTAGGGCGCCCCGCGTCCTTGATCCGTTCTGGGAGTCAGTCCCCCACACTGCTGAGCCTCTCTGGTGCTTATAGGCTACTGAGGAAAACGTGCGGCTTCTAGGGCACCCTCCTACCCCGACCCCTAGCCTCGCCTCTTGCCAGCTTGGTGGTACAGATACAATCTGCACCCATGGGCCGCTTGCCCTGCCTTAACCATTCCTGCCCACTAGGGGGCCTAAGGCTAGCGGTCTGTGCTTTGTCCCCAGCTCGGTCAAAAGGTGCTAGGAACGTCGGAATCCCTGGCTACCCCAGGCGAGCTTACCTGGCAGTAGGCACCGACAGAGGAGGCTCAGAACTATGCCCAGGAGAGTGGCGAGGCCCAGCAGTGCCAGGATCAAGAGCCCCAGGTGCCTATGGGAGACTGAATCAAGCAGGGTGAAGCCAAGCCACCGAAGACAGTGCCCAAGCTCCGTCTCCTCTCATCCAAGAACTAACTCACCATCAGGACACAAAAGGTGCTTCCAGGCAAACTGGACATCTGACCTCCACACCTGAGGACACAGGGCCCCACTCGTGTGAGTTAGAGCACCCCCTTCCTCCCAGGGAAGGAGTCCCCACTGGCCTCCAGTTTTGTGTCTGGTACAATCCCCTGGACAGCCACAGACCAGGTCAAGGTGGCAAACGCCAGTGAGACCTCAGTGGCTCCCACAGTTGGCCTGGGCTGAAGAGCACAGAGCAGCTGAATTAGTCAGCCACCACTGAGCGCTAGGCCTTGTCACCACGCCTCGTGGACACACAGCACTGGGTTTTCTCATTTTTCGTGGGAAGGCAAAATATCAGTGTTTTGTTTTGAAGATAACATGTAACTAGTGATCACTAATTCCAATTTAAAACACTTGGCCAAACCAAATACATTTATGGGCTCTGTGCCAGGGGATCTGTGAGGAGCGAGGGTAGGATTTCTTACCAGGATGCAGCTCCCCGGCCTCAAGAAGGGAATGATGAGATCAAAAGTCGCTGGGACTGAGCCCTGGGTCTGTAGGGACAAAGGATAGAGTGGTTGTCCCCATACAGGCAAATCTGATAGTCTCACCCACCCCGGTCCGACCTAGGTAAAGGGCCCAGTGGCACCTCCAGAAGACTTTCTGTGCCGCCATGAGGAAGAAGGTGGGCACAGCCATTGTCTCCGTCCTGCACACGTGTGTGTCTCTCACTTCCCTGCACAGCTGAGGAGGCGTCTTGTCCGCCGGGAAGAATGAGCTGTAAAGACTGGTGGCCTAGGTCGAGTCTTCGCTATCGTCTTTCTAGTTCCCGGGTTTGTGACCTTTCCGTGGATTTGAATGATATCTCCTCCCTCCCCAGTCTCAGATTCTTTATTTGCATATGAGGGCCAATAATCTCTGTCGGGTTACTGGAAGCATTAAATGGAAATATGCATATGGATGATTTTAATAAACTGATGTTAGAAGCAGCTGTTATCAGGCTAAGAAACGGGGGACGAAGCCTGTATTGGGTGCTCTTCTTACACCTCCCGGTGCATAGCACGGGGTGGGCACAGAGCAGTACTTGAGGAGAACCGTCTACAGACGAAGACACGTTAATTACGGGTTGGCGGGTCATCTCTACCGCCCACCTTCTCCTCTGTACCCCTCACCTGCCTGCCTGCACTCTGGAGGCCACTGTCAAGCACTCGGATACTCTCAGGTCTCAGACATTTGCTACCCCTGTGTGGGAGCCTATAGAGCTCCGGCTGCAAGGGGGCCCTTGAGGGAGGGGACCGTAGCGAGCACAGGATGCTGGCTCAGCTTAGTGCTGTGGTTTTGCAGTTGCGGTTTTTAAATCAGAAACACAGACCAAAGTCGGCTAGTCATCCTGTTCTTCGTCCGCATGATGGAGTTACACCAGAGGAGCACTGCACAGTGAGCCCTTCAGCTTCTAGGGGGTCTCTTGAGAGTTGGTAAATGTGATTTTATTTAAAATAAAAACGGCCCCCATAGGCCCATAGGGAGCTGCACTTTTGGAGGTGTGGCCTTGTTGGAGGAGGTGTCGCTAGGGGCTGGCCTCTGAGGTCTCAGATGCTCAAGCCAGGTCCAGTGTGTGGCACTTTTTCACTTCTGCTGCCTCTGGATCACGATG